TAATCATATGAATTAATAAATTGTTCTGTTGTCGTGCCGCCTGTTTGTTTTATTTGATCTAATGCTTCCTCTCTCAATTTCATTATATCAGTGCTAACGTAAAAATATTTATTTATATATTTAAATTCCGATTCATTTTCAATCATTTCACGCAACATTACTTCGTACGTATTATTTTCTTTTTTTAAAAATTCAACTTCTAAATCCTTGTCATTAACTTTATTTGTAAAACTTGCAATCATATTTGAATCCCACGTTTGATCTGTTACAGCAAATAATTTACAATGAATAGATTGCATCGGTAATTTTAAAAATTGTTCTTGAATTGCTTTAATTTTGCCTAAATCAACTGTTTCTACATTTCCATAATCTATAAATTGTACAACTGCTTGTTGTTCTGCAACAGATTTGATTACAGCTCTGTACCATTGAAGATCTTCACTATATTGAGCAATACAATATTTGTCAGGTTTCAATTCAGAATGTTTTAAAATATCTCCACCATTTTCATAGATCGATTCGATATCTTTCATAAGAATATCTAATTCTAAATATTCTGGATGTAAATGAATATAAAAATTAGTCGGATTATTTATGAAAACTATTTCACATTTTTTACTAGTCCCAAGTATAACATTTAATGAAGGTATTTTAATATTTTCCGAAAATAATTCAGTTGTTTGAAGTTTTCCATTGTTTTGCACATTAATGTTCCCATTAGTTACTCCTATTAAATTTGTAGACGTATTTTTAGATTCGAAAGAAGTCTCTCTGTTATTAGATATGACGTTATTCTTATAATTAGTTCTATCTTTCGAATCACTCGATCTCACTTTTTGATTATATTGAATATTTGTTTTTCCATCATTATCGTTCCATCTGCTATTGTACAATCTTGCCGATAATCCTTCTGAACGAGGCTTTGCACCACCACTACCACGACGATTAAAACTATTACCTCTACCTCTTCTATTACTACCTTTGGATGAGGTATCGGAATCTTTATCACTCCAATGTTTGTCAAAACCACTACTACGATTGAATCGAAAATCATTACCAATGGGTCTACCTCTGCTGCGAGAATCTCTTCCAATTTTGTGAAACGTATTTGTATCATTATAATTTCGTCTATTATTAGATGGCTCATCTTTTATTATTTTGTTATTTCTAAACGATTCCTTACCAAATCGATCATTTCTCATAGTGTCATGGAAAGAATTAGGTTTGTCATATCTATTATTATTTTGTTGTCTTTCTTCATTTAAATCATTTCTCCAAGATTTTGATTTATTATGATCGCAATTACTATCACTCGCTGTGTTTCTAGTAAAATCCTCCTTATTTGAATTATCGCTAGAACAAATAATACATACATTCATATTTATTTCATCTAAATAAAAGTGCATATAATGTATAGAACAGAAGCAACAAATATGATTATGATTATAATAATACACAAAGTTGTATAAATGATAATAAATACAATAAAAACAAATTAATTGCATATATTATAGATAGAAAATATTGTTTAATATACATATAATAGTAACAACTTGTAAAGGTTTAGCGTTTAGTTAATAGCGTAATAAATAAATTAATATTAAACAAAAATGAAATTTATCGAATGCTGTAGAAATAAAGCAAAGATTGTGCATGTAAAATAGAAAATAATAATGTTTCTTTTGTTTTTTTCTATTTATATTTATAAAGAAGAAGGACAAGAGAAAAGAAAAGAAAAGAAAAGAAAAGAAGCAGAAATATTTGTTTTATTGTATATGTTACCGTATTTCTTTTATATTCTTCGATTTATCTTTCACTTGAGGTTCTATTTTTAACGATGCCTTTGGATAAGACCTAATATTAACACAATAGATTTTATTATAATTAATTATCTATTGTAAATATAATAATAAATCTATAAACTGTTATTAACGTAAAAAAAAAAAAATGTATCATCATACAACATTTAATAAAACAGACACACAAACATAAATAAATACATTACCTTTGAATCTTTTTAGGGACTTTCATAGAATTTTGATAATCACTTTCATGAGAATTTGATTTAACGCCCATATTTTTATCCACATGAAAATATCGTTGCAATTGATTTCTTATATCATCTCTAATCTCAAGATTAAATAAATCAACTACTAAACAACCAGGAAGTACGTCCATAACTTTCATGTATAAAGGTTTTTCGAAAATTAACGTTTCAAATTGATCAGAACATTCATCAGTATTAGTTGGTAACATTTCATGACCCCTTAACATACATCTTATCGCTTGTGCTGGTAATTTTGTTACTAAATCATTATGAATTGTACGCAAAGATTCATTAGTTAATGTATTCTCATTACCATAATCTACATATAAAATTTTGATTCCGTCTTCATCGACGTTAAGAATTTTTGCACGATACCTAAAAAAAAAAAAATAAATAATCGATAATAATTGTATCTATACGTGTGTGTTATTAATAATAATATTATTATTGTATGTATCTTAATATAATTGTAATTTACCATTGGTTTTCGTAAAGAGCGGCACAAGGTGTTCCTACTGATATTAAATCTGGATGCAGACTAGGTGCAGATTGAATATATTCAGCCAAATAAATCATTATTGATTCGAGAGATTTATCATTTTCATCAAGTTGAACAAAAAACTTAGTAAGATTTTCTGCATAAGAAACATGTACATTTTTTTCAACACCATTGGATAATTGTTTCATCTCTTGATATTCAATGACATTTGATATTGTTCGTGGTACTGCAAATGCTTGTCTAAGAATATCTTTGATATTTTTATCATTGTCATACAAATCTCCATATTGTATAAGTGGCGGACCTTCTGGTGGACGGACATGCAAGATAAGTAATCTTCCTGATACTATTTTTTTAAAATATTCCGACATTTCTGGTGTTACGTTTAATTCTTTCACTCCGCTTAAAGTAAGTCTTATTGAAAGTACTCTAGGATTGATATATTGTGGCGGTAATTGAAAAATATCTGTATATGGTAATATTTCAGAATGTCCAAAATCAACGTAATACAATTTACATTTATGTTCCATTACAGCCATTACTACTGCTCTGCATAATACTTTATCTACTGTGTAACGACCTAAGCATACTGACCCAGGTAATGGTGGTTCTTGTAAGGGTTCCGTTGGATGACTATTGATATCTCCCATAAGTTTAGATAATATATCAGACGTACTTTGAATTTGAATAGAGAACTTTAGTGGACCATCTTCGACATAAGATACATATACTTGATATTTAGCACCAATTTCTAAGACTCTTGATTTAAATACTAATGCTTCCTGAACTGGTGGATGAGATACAGGTTTCTGTTGCTGTACATTGTAAGACGTTGGGTTATTACGCCATGTACTTTGATCTTGAGTTGCATGATAAGCAGAATTCGGAGTAGTTTGCGTTCTCATAGAAGTGTCATTTATCATTCTTCTATCTTGCATTTGATATGGCGATGGTTGTACACGTCGTAATCTGGAAAATGCATTGAATTAATACTATAATCATATAAGAACAATAAAGAAGTCACTAGTATTATATTTTTACCTGTACGAATCTTGCGTCGTAACATCCAAAGCCATATGCCTTTTTACCAAAAGTTCTGCAAAGTCTTCATTGTTGTAACATATTTTAATAAAAGTATGATTTCCAGTGTTAGAAAGACAATAAGCTTTGTATTCGTTATATCGTAATATTTTGTTAATAGTTTCTATAATCTCATTATCCCAAACATTATTAATAGGTGCAACATTTGCTAATGTAAATTCGTACGCTACCGGTGGAAATGATTGTAGCGTTTCTGATCCAGGTATATTTCTCAATAAATGTACTTCGCGTTGCGATAAAACTTCAACATTACCATAATCAATGAATTGTACTAAAACTTTACCATCTGGATATATATTACATATCCTAGCACGATAATAACCATCATTTTGAAATCTTGCACAACACAAAGCGTTGATAGTTAATCCTTCTTGTAATTCAGGATATCCAGAAGCAACGGATAACTTTTCAGAAAGTGGTAAGATCAATCGTTCAACATAGGTAGCTGCATTTTTATCTGTCTGACCCCATATTTTTAAATGCTGATGTTTTGCCTCTATATGGGTTACGAAAATAACAAATTCTGAATTTGATTTTATAGCCGCCATATTAATACTTTATCTGTAAAAACAAAAACAAAAAAATATTAATATTATTAATTAAAGATACATTATCAATAAAAACGCACGCTTATTATTTCTAAATGAATCTTATTTCTTAATATGAACCATATTATTTATTAAAAAGTAGAAATACTTAATGAATAGATTTTCATGACCAAAAGTTATAAGAATAAAAGTAAACTTTACAAGTTCATTTAATAAAATAATGAATTCGTCTAAAACGAAATAATTTGTATTTTATTATTATTTTTTTTTTTTTTGTTCTTTTGGTCAATTCTCTATGCCCTTTTTGTTATTGACTTACTTTTGCATGCTTCATCTGTTATTATTTCGAACAGAAATATTACGTAGCAAAATATTTAGAGAATATTAAGAATATCTAATAATTCATCTACCTCTCAAATCCTTCTACTTTACATATCCTACTTTGTATTATTTCCTTTTCGTTAGAATATTTTTCTTTAAATTAATTTGACACTGTTTTAAATATTCTTACCTCGACACAATACACCATTCTTCTGATTATTACGGTACTCAGTCTAATTCTTCAATCTAGGTTAATTTTAACATATTGCCCATGCCGCCAACTTTAAATTGATTTTGAACATTTCACCATTTGTAAAATTACTCTGTGTGTATAGTTTTATTAAACTTAATAATAAATATAATAGTAAAAAAAAAAGAGAAAAAAAATTTAATTATTTTTCCCTTAACAATATTATGTGTATCAATAAATTAATCAACTTTAATTGTACTTCAGTTTACTACTTGTGTATATATATATATATCTATCATACATTGACAGCCATGCTTTCCTAAACTTTATTAATTAGTACGTAGTAGAATTATTTTTTTTCTTCTATATTTTTTTTCTATTTAGAATATTAATATTTCTATTACAATATTATGATTTTCATGAACTTTAACACATAAGGACGATAGTAATTAAATCAAATCTTCAAATTAATTTCAATCAACTGAAACATTTCTATTGTAAGTAATTTTAATCCTATATAACCGTTGTGAATGATACAACGAGTTATTTATAGAATTCTATAAAAAAAAAAAAAAAAAAAAAAACAGAAAAATACAGTCGTGTAAAGAAAAAACTATTAAATTTATAAGTTTGTATACAAATTTGCACTAACATAGAAACATTACATAAGTAAAAAATATATATATATATTCTTTGTTCATTATTAATAGCTGGTTCATACGTAATATAAATTTTACACTAAACTTTCATTTGTTGTAAGTAAATAAAATAAATAATATTTATCTTATCTATTTCTATATATATATATATATTTACTATTTTTTTGTTAGTAATTATTGAACAATTAATAAAAATAATTGAAATATCTATTTTTCTGTTTAACTTAATAGTAACATAACTATTCAAAAATTGTTCGTGTAAATTAATCGAATTTATTAGATCGATTTAAATGATTTTTCAATTGAATTTGATTATTTTTCATGTAAACACACACGCGTATTATTTCTATGTAATTAATAGTTTATTCTGTAGATGGCAGGATGAAAGGGTTAGGAAAGTGAGGGAGATGAGTTCAGGACTTTTCCAATACGTGTTGATGTTTACAAACTAAACGTTAAAAGATTCCATGTAGTATAGAACAGTTTTGATTGAAATATTTCGTTACGATGGCTCAAGCCAAACATAATTTGTCAGAAGCATCTAATGGGACGATGATGGAAAAAGAAAAGGACAGTAATGAAGATAAAGAAGGTATGGATTTATATCAGAGTGATCGATAAATTGGAATATGAAATGATTCATTTGTTGTATGATTTAAATTGACCAAAAAAAAAATATTATCAAGAGGGTTTATTCAGCAGGTTCTGTAACGATACCAGAATGTGCTGTTTGTCTTCAACCTTGTATACATCCAGCAAGATTACCTTGCAATCATATTTACTGCTATTTATGCGTAAAGGGTGTTGCTAATCACAATAAAAGGTGTCCTATGTGTCGTCAAGAAATGCCATCTGATTTTGTTGAAAGACCACAATTGGTAGAAGTCGATGAATTAAAGGAATTAGAACGACCAGAGGAAGAATATCAATGGTTTTACGAAGGCAGAAATGGTAATATTTATTTTTATTTGTTTGTATATATTAATTGTTCTTACAACTATATGTGAGCGCGTGTATTTATTAAGGTCAATGTATCTCTATAGAAAACAATATAAAAATAGAATAGACACTAATGAAGTTAATTAGTTTAGGAAAATCCAATGAAGAAGCTACAATATAAACATGAAAAGTGTATGATTGTATTTATCACTTATTTTGCAAAATAGACAAAAGTATCAGTAGTTTCTGTATATTTGAAAATTGAAGAGAATTTAGTTTTTATCTTTTTACATTGAGAGAGTCAGGCATGCTTAGGTAAATTTGTAAAATTAGCACGCGCACATAGAAAAGTTGATATTCTACCACTTCTTAGGTTGGTGGAAGTATGATTCAAGGATCAACAAGGATTTGGAGACTGTATATGAACTAGGTGATACTAAATGTGAAATGTTGATCTGTGGCATACTTTATGTGATTGACTTTGAAAAGAAATGTCAGTACAGAAAATATCAGCCACGTTACAAAAGAAATATCAAACGTGATAGAAATGATGCACAATGTAAAGGAGTTTCAGGTGTACGATAGTTTACTTATTAAAGTAAAGTACCTGTTTATGTTGCATTTATAAGCGTATATTAATAATATGTATTTGAAATTTAAATCTTGGAAAAATAGTTTGAATTAATGTAGGCATTTATAGTAATAGAAAGGCAAAACCTAAACGAAATTGATGAAACAGATAAACAATTGAAAACGTTAGTTAATACAATTTATAACTGCATTATAAAATGTAATTACAATCAACGATCATTTATAATAATACTACTTATTATGTAATAGTGTTTTGATATTTTTTTAAATAAAAAAATATATTTTTTCTAAATTTATATTTATTTCCTAAAAGTGTCCTCTAATTGAAGAACAAACATTTCATTCTACGCAATAATTTATTATCGATAAAATAGATAATATGTATTAAAGTAAGTTGTATTCATAAAACAAATTGTTACAGGATGGTGGCAATATGATCAACGTACAAGCCTTGAATTAGAAACTGCTTACAAACAAGGAAAGAGGACTTGTGATTTATTAATTGCAGGGTTTTTATATATTGCGGATTTTGGTTCCATGCACCAATTACGTAGGAATGATCCTTCCAGGAGAAGAAGAATTAAACGAGATTTGTATAATGTTCCAAAAAAAGGAGTCGCTGGTTTGAGACTGAATGTTCAAGAAGAAGAAATGATTAGAGAAATAAGAGGAGCAGAAAGACCTGCAAGTCCTGAAAGTGATACTATAAGTATGTACTATTGATAAAATTTTTAAACGTAGAATGATAAAATTAAACATGTTTTTTTTTTTTTTTTTTTTTTAACTTAGGTGGAGATGGTACTAGTACTCCTATACCACCAAGTAATACTCCACAAACACCAGCTGGTGGAACTGCAAGTGGTGATGCTACGCCATTAAATGACAGAGTGGATCAAAGATCTGATTCTTTACATCAAGTTTTAGAACAAATGCGTTCATTAGTATTAATAGAACATTTATCATTTAATAGTAATAATGATCTGGAAGAAACAGCAGAGGATGAATCGGTGTCTGAAAATTCTGTACTTTCTTGTATACCAACATCACACGAATCGGATGAAGATCATTTGTAGAAAAAAGAAATATGAATATTTCACCCTCTCACTTATTTGAGATACATCAAATTATTGAGAAATAAAATACAACCAAAGAACTATGTTATGGTTAACAATCACAAATACAATATTGAGAAGGAAATATTATTCTGTGATATACCACAATACACAGAGAGGGCACTTAAATATCAATTTTTGAAATTGGAAAAGAAAAATTAGATCTAAGAAAAGATTCAAATTATTGATTAAATATAATATCGAAATATAGATCAATACTTTTAAAACAGTATCGATAAAATCAACTAATGTAATATATGTAATATGAGCGTTCCTACTATTCTTTTAACTAAATATAAATGAAACATACAAAATAATAATTTTGAATTATATAATAAAATCAATTAATCATTTTAAGTTTTTTTTTTCAAAAAAAAAAAAAAATAAATAAATAAAGTATTAATTATATTTATTAAGAAATAAATTATTCGTTTCGAGAGAAATATTCAAATGTAATATAATACTTGAAAGTAGTTAAATAACTTTCAAGTTTAATAAAATATATTCTAAAAATCAAGTGTTCGTTTATGCAACGAAAATTATAGTACGAATCACAATTATTTTTACAGATAATGTTATTGTATCTAATTATGTACATAGATTTATAGCGAGAAAATACATTATCATATTTTGCAGAACATAACAACCGTCGTATATTTTATCTTTTTGAGTAATCTAACACTTGAAACTTTTCATTGATACCAAATATGATATTAATTATAAGTTAAGTTGAAAGTTAATATTAAGCAGTTATTGGCTCGATATTATTTACGATGGAATGTATGACATATAATATATGATATATACATTATATCAAAAATAATATCACGTTTTCAGGGGTTTTAGAGTTAGAGTTCTAAATCCTAATCGTAACTCTAATATACAAAATTACTATTTTCTTACGATTTGTGCATAAATAAAAAACATTTAAATAGCAGCAAAAAAAAAAGAAGGATAACTAATTATTATATATAAAAAAAATGAGGTATCACAGATTTTTTTGATTTTGGATTTTCAAACAATTCAACATAACAGTCTCGTTTGAATTAACACTTCAATCAATTAAAATTCGCGCCAGACATGCTCACAGCGTTATTATACCTGTAACCAATCAGCGAACATTATATAAATTGTGAATATATTCGCGTTATGCAATATTTAAAAAAACATTAGAAATTAATAAATATAATGCATGAATATATAAAACATTTTAATGAATATTATGTTGATTCAAATAAAATAATAAAAATTAATAACAAGCTTTATATATATATATATTACATGTACAACATATATTGTTTAAATAAATATTAAATAATTGAAAATATAATTTATTTAAGCTTACTTATATTAAAAAGATATTTTCGACATTCACTTTTTGAAATTCAACAAAACACTTGTTTGATAACTGCTGAAGTCAATTAGACATCTGTTCTTGTAGACAACTTCAAGTTTATCGAGCTACAATTATTTTACAATTAATATAAAGTTATAATCTCTATATAATGTATAAATAAAATCATTGCAAATCTAAATTATCTAATCTTATCAGTATGGAGAAAGAACTATGATTGTTACTTGTTAGAATTTAAGTGAATACCCCACACTTGACAACTGGATAGTCAAGTAATGATTGTTTAAACAATTATAATATAATTATTTAATTATATTTCTTATTAATTTAATATTAATTATATGATCTCAATTATTTCTATTATAATTATATATATTATTATTATTCATATATTTTAAATTAATTTTTTTCAGGAAATGAAAGATTCATTAAGTTTCTTAAAATCTAATATAATATAATTGGTGTAATATTTACAATATTTAATATTATTAATCTTCAAGTATTACAAATATCGATTGATATTTTGATAATTATAAAATAATGAATATTTATATAAAAAGTAATTGATACTTCTATATTGTACACGTATGTTGGTAGTATATTACAAAAATAAATTCACGATTAAAGAAATAAATCAGAAATCCATTAGAATGTTCCTGACTATGATGCAATTACATAGTTACATGACTTTAAACTTTCACGCTTTATAGTGTGAGTCATTTCTTACGTGTGAAATGAAGTTGACATAGTACAACTTTGAATTGTGCATTTCATTCAAAAATGGCGCTGAATTATACTATCTCAAATTAAATGTTATAGTTGTCATATTTTAATTATAATAATCAAAAATTGACGAATAATGATATTTGAATTATTTTTTCAATAATATTAATAAAATATTAATAGACGTTTAATTAGAAATACATTTAATTTGGTCAATATATTTTAATCATAGTTCAATTTTACTTCGTCAGCTTGCCACCATTTTGATTCGACACATGCGCTGTAGACAATGACGCGATCAATATCTCCCTACACACAACTATAAAAGAATTGACAAGAAGACATACTGCGTCTTATTAACGATCGACATTTCACGTTGTATTAATATATTTTCTATCAAGTTTTAATCTACTATTAGATTTAAATCAAAATAAAGGATTATTTCTTTACATTTGTACGCGAGTGTTTTCATAAAATTGAGATTATTTCTTTGTTCGTTAAATAGTATTTAAAATGAGACGCTTCAAAGCATATTTAGCAACAGACGGTTCCTCGAAGGAAGAAGAAATTCGTAGATTTACTTTCGAGACCAGAGAGGAGACCAATTTCACACTTTTGAGGGAAAAATTAAAAAACATTTTTCCAAGTCTACAAGGGAAACAATTTGCCATTACCTGGAAAGGTAAAAACAAAATATGATTTTATTCGTGTAAATGAAGCCATTGATTAATTCGATGTTAAGATGTTTATGTATCTTTTTTGTTTTTTTTTGTTTGAATTTGATACACATTTATTTAAAGACAATATTTTTCATTGATTGGTATTATTAATATTTTAGATGATGAAGATGATTATATTGCAATATCAACCAATGAGGAATTGGAAATTGCTTTGGAGGAAATGTCCCATCAAGATCCTCTTAGATTATACATAATAAAACATAAGGATAATCCGAGAAATGTGCATGTTCAACCAGAAGAAGTATCAGGAGTGTTACATCATAATATCTTATGTGATGGTTGCAATAAGAATGTTAAAGGTTTTCGATACAAATGTATCGAATGTCCAGATTACGATTTATGTTTTGCTTGTGAATCTAAAGGACTACATCCAGAACATTGCATGATTCGTATAGCGGTACCTTTGCAATGGACATCACGCTATGGTAAACGCTTAGTTCATCATATGAAAAAATTTATACGTAAAAGCAGCATCTATAATACGAGATCAGAAGAAACTAGAGATTGTCCAACTATGAACGAAAGACATTACGCAAGATCTAGAGCAAATTGCGATAATTCTTCATGGGTCGACACTTTTGCTGATTATTTTAATGATTGGACCTATAATACAGGTGAGTGTCCCATGAAGAATATCCCAAAACCACCCGAGACAGCAACTGAAGCTATACCTTCGACTAATGAATCTTCTGCTTCTTCTAAAGAGGCTAAGAAAGAAGCTAAGCCACATATTGATCTTTTAAAGATAGTAGAAGACAATATTGCACAGTTCTTGAATCCCCTTGGAATAGATATAAGTATGAAAGTTAAGAGTGATGAAAGATCTGACATTTCGCAGAACAATGTTCCCAATAAACCAGCTGAAACAAAAGCAGCAGAATCATCCGATGAAATTCCTGCTAAATTTCCCGGTGAAGGGAGAAAATTGAATGAGAAAAATATGAATAATAACCCTGAAACTAATGACGAAACATCCTTAATTAATAAAAAAGAATCACTTTCTGAAAAATCTGATAAATCCTCAGATGACGAAGGTTGGACTATGCTGAACAATGAACGCTCTGCTTCTGTTGCTCCTGAAGTTCCTGTTACTGATCAAACTTTGCCTTCTACTTCTACTTCGGCTGAACCCATTTACGAAAATGTGCTAAAGAAGGTATGATTATTTGTGATATATATATATTTTGAATATAATCAAATGATATTCAAAAATATATATCTCAAAAATAAGTTATATTAATTTGGAACATTTAGGCTAACACTCCATCAGCTCCTGTAACAGAAGAGCCAAATGGAAATCTTTATCCATTATTATCAAAACCAACTCATCCAAAAGTTGTATATCATCCAAATCCGAAGATTCAAAATGCCGTTGACATTATGATGACTATGGGATTTTCTAATGAGGGTGGCTGGCTTACTCAATTATTGGAAATCAAAGACGGTGATATTGGAAAAGTTTTAGACATGTTGTCTCCAGTGCGTGAATGACGCAAACTATTTTGACACACACACACAATATATCTTATATTAAAAAAACTTAAGGGAAACCTTATAAAAATTTAGAGTTATACACTTTTGAATATTATTATAGTAGACATTCCAACGAATGAATATGGTAATTCTATATACTTTTCTTAAATATATTATGCATATATATATATGTATATATGCATTTTTAGATGTTTATGTTCTAGATTTTGTGGATTATAATATTATAATAATCAATAAAGTATAGCAAGGCTTAAAAATCGCTGTTTATTTCTTTTTATATGTCACCTAAAATTATTAAGTATTATTATAACTTAAGATAAAAAAAGAAGTTTTATATATATGTATATACTTCATACTTTATTTGTAATATTTTTATAAAGATCTACAAAATTTCATTATTTCACATGGATTTCCAGCAGTCAATGCCCATATTTCTGCCAATCCTTCAGAAGTTATATTTCTTACCCACTTTCGATCATTGTAATATTCCATTATTGATTCAAATTCTGTTTTATTATAATTTTCTACCAAAATTGGTAGAAAAGGATCTGTAAATTCAAAACCCTCTTTACCAAGCAAAAATCGTGGATTAACATATTCCTTTCGGTCCTATTAAAACAATTAAAGTATATGATAAAATCGTATAATCATATTTTATATATAATAGTTTAAATTATAAATTATATTTTATCATATATTATTACCTTGCATATTTTACTATCTACTACCAAAACAGCAGCTCCATTACACCAATCAGCTTTTACAAAATTTAGAAATGACAAAGTTAATGATATTTGTTGAGATTTCATCCATACTTTAGCATCATTACGTATTCTAGTATGATTTGACCAAAATGAATTGTAACCATCTACAGCTACTAAAACTTTACACTTTCCTGCGATACTAGATTCTTTTAATTCGGTACATAATGCATCTATTACACCTGTTGCATATCTTACTCTGTTAATACCAAAGTCAATTATTTCTAACAAGGGAGTACCCTTTGGTGATAATTCTCTTATATTCCATTGATAATCTTTCGATATTCTGAGCTAAAAGAAAAAAAAAAAAACAAATTTTTTCATTAAAATCACAGATTAACAAATGAAACATTTGCAAATACTTACATCAAGTTTTGATAAAAGTTTTTCATTTTGACTTTTAAAATATAATAACCATTTTCCTGCATCAACCGGTAAATCTATAATACCTGGCATTGTCGTCGAATTAGCTATTTCTTTTGGATTTTTAAACCAATGGGTAGCTAAAATTTAAAAAAAAGAAATAAACGTAATTAATTAAATATTAAATATTATGTATAACATGAAAGATGATATACAATTTTAATGATAATTTTACATACGTGTAGGCACGTGAACTATGATCATCTCTTTCATAAAAGCATAATGTAATATATGCGTTATCGCTAATGATTTTCCTGTACCATATTTTCCATCTATAGATATTTACAATTAAAGAAATATACATGTATTTAACGTAGTATAATTTATGAAGTAAAAAAAAAACATATTATAAAAGGATACATAATAGATATTTGTTTATAGGCCTACTATAATCAGCCTGTTCTAAATATGATAGTATTTCTATCGTAGGATTTCTAACTAATAATGAACATTCATTGAAAGTATTAGCTAACCTTAAATAGTTAGCAGGAATTCCATTAATTTTATAAAATGTTTGAACAATATTGTCTGGTATTGTATATAATCTATTCAAATGTTGTTCATTATGATTTATTGGATTGGATTCTATTGTACGGAACGTTTGAAATGGTTCATTTTGAATCGAAACAGTGTCATTTTGTATATCTTTTGGTGATACATTAGCCAAAGTATTATATCGTCTTTGCCATTTTGATCGACATAAATATTGTAAAAATAATCCTAAAAATTATTATAATTATACAATGAGATACACATGTTAAATATAATTCATAAAATTTATAATAAATATAATCATTGTTATTTCAAGATTATTATAAATGAAAACTTACGCGATGTTAATGACATTTTGTAATATTCTCTTTAATGAATATACAATTAATAATTAATAAATATGTGTTCAAATTTTTTCATAATAATATTAATTAACATTTAAATACATATGTGTTGTTATTCTTTTTTTTATTGAACAAAATAATCATATGTTATAGACCAAGAAGATATATAAACTCGGTGATATGAGATACATAACCTAATATTATTAAATGCTGTCACCAGCGTCATCTGGTGCTTCAAATTGCATATTTTTAAATTTGAAATATTTATGATTTCGCGCGTGACAAATATTTTGTTAATATAGATAATTATATAACTTTATTATTAACTAAATCTATTATAATTTAGATTATAAGGTTCAATATTTATCCATGATATATAATAGTATTTTTAAAATATTAAAACTTTCAATAAATATACGATAAGGGTATAGAATTTCATATTTTATTTTTATATATATCAAATTTATATATATACATTAAAAAATCACATTTTTAATATGAAAGAAATTGTATTTTATATTCTTTGACATAGTACCTCAAGTGCTTTGTAATATGCATACTTAATATCAAATTCCATGTCGTACCAATAATTAATAGCTATGCACGCATGTGATTGTCTTACATGATGAAACCAAAGAGAAGGAAGATATAATATATCCCCTGCTTTTACCCTTGCTTCTAATCTTTGTACATTTTTATATTTTGGATATCTATAAAAGTAAGTGATATTATTGTATTAAGAAAAATGATAATAAATATTTTCTATATTAATCATTATGATTACAAAACAATAATACCTATTATAATCTGAATTAAGAGGATCAATATCTATCCATGGTATCCTATTAAAATTTTCCGAATATTCTGATTCTAGATTATTCCTAATATTGACCGGTTCAATAGTCCACTTTCCAGGTTCTATTTCTTTATAAACAGCAGGAGGATATTTTTCATATGGAATCCAAGGTAAATCCGTAGGAGGATGTAATATGAAAGTTTTTTCACCTGACACTACGCAATATATGTTTTCATATGGATCTTTATGCACTACAAATTAAAGATACAGATGTGTTAAGATGAATGTGAAAAACTACAGTTTAAAATTGTATTTTTTTTTTTTTTTAAAAGAAAATAATTTTACTAGATGTTACGGCTCTCTGATCACCCATCCAAAAATTAATAGCGTCAGGCTTTTTACCAAAGGCATTCGTAGCCCATGATATATCTGTATCGATATCATCCTCAAGTTCAGCGAAATCTTGAAAATTAGAATTCTGTTTTTGAATATAAAATATACTTTCTAATTCAGGATTTTCAAGAGTATTTAAAAACTTAGTCATCGTTAGAGAACGTTCCTCTGGCATAACAAAATATTGTTTCGTTATACCATCTAAAACACATTTTGTTATTGCATCGGCATAACCATTAGGTGTAACAGTTACAGAAACTAATTTATTTCCTAAAATCTCTCGAAGATAATTTATAGACCATTTTTTAATAGCTGGCCAGTGTTCGCAACCATTTCGTATTATTACTGGCAAGTTTTTTGATACATAATCACGATAAAATATTAAAGGATCAATTGTACCATTTATTTCTGCTATTTCATTTCCTAAGTACAGTTCTAAAAAATGAAAATAAATTTACAAATATACATATGAATATATATATATGTAAATATAAAAATAAACAGATATTGTTAACCTCAAAAATATTATACACAATAATTACATATTTACAATTATTTTAAATTATTTTTTACATAATTCATATAGATTTAATAATAATTGCATTTCGTGTTATATTTTTGTTAATTTAATACAAACCTTTGACTTCTTGAGAAAGAACTTGACATGCTCTCTCTATTTTATCTGTTGGATCTATCATAGTTCAAAATGTATTTAAAAAAAATAATAATAATAAAATAATATTTTGTTATTATATAAAATCTTATAAAGTTTTTTCAAAACATAATTATATTATTATCAAAATGAATAAAATACGATTAAATTACAATATTGATTATACAGTTATTCTTTTGATACGCGGAAAACGCCATCTTATTTTTAATCCGTACCTCTTCAAATCAACATTAATCACCAAAGCCGGTTTCAGCATACGCATCTCTCTATATATATATATTTTAGAAATAAGTAAAATAATAGTTAAATTAATATTTTATTTATTCTATTTTGTTATTTCAATCTATCAGTGGTGAGTATACAAATATTATTTCACTTTAGCAATAGAACTTTAGTAATAGTTTTATTTTCATTTTAGGTTTCATTTTAGGTTATGTTTGATGCGTCTTATTGAATTGATCGCATTTCTTCATTAATTTTATCATATTTAAAGATAATTTATGTATCATTTGTTGTGTAATTAATTTTATATTTCATAAATTATATGTTTATTATTATAAGTTGTATTAAAAATTTAAGAAAAGAAAGCATACTCAGAAACAAATTGAAAAAAACATTTTTGTTAATTAGTAAAATTAATAAAAAAAACAAAAATAATAAGAAAATAATATATTATTTAATTTTGAAGGAACACTATGGTAAGAGGTGGTCGCGGTGGAATGCTCAGAGGTGGAAGAGGTGGGATGGGTCGCGGCATGGGATTTCCTAGGAAACAATTTCTACCACGGCATCCATTTGATTATACATTGTGCGAAGTAGCATTTCCTCGTGTCAAAGCTGCCCCAGATGAATCCGATCTTCAATCTGCTCTTGTTAAAAAGAATACAGACATGTGTCCAACTCAAAAGGAACAAACTTCTATTTTAAATTTGGTTACAAAATTGCAAAGTGTTTTGGACAATTTAATTGTTGCTCCTGGAACTTTTGAAGCATGTGTATGTAAATTTTATTCTTCTTCTTCTTCTTCTTATTATTATTATTATTAGAAAAATGTTTATGTATTAATGAAAACAAAAATAATTAACATTTACAGCAATTAGAAGAAGTGAGACAAGTTGGTAGTTTTAAAAAAGGAACAATGATAAAAGGACACAATATTGCTGACATTGTTGTAATTTTAAAAACACTTCCAACTAAGACAGCAGTGGAAGCATTGGGAACAAAAGTCAATACCGATCTTAAGACCGGAAATCCCAAAGAAGTGTTCAGACTTGTACAGACGGAACGTGGATTTGATATTTCAAATAATGAAGCTACCGTAAGAGTATTAATTACAACCTTACACCAAAATTTACGTAAATTGGAATCAGATCAACATTTAGATGTACAAATCTGTCAAGGTGATTATATTATTATGAGTTAATTTTTAAAAAACTTATATTTATATATGAAGAAATATCATTTGGTTGTTTTTTATTATTGTAGGACACTTAGCAGCAATTCGACACTCTCGTTGGTTCGAGGAGAACGCTCATCATTCCAGTATTAAAGTTCTAATTAGATTATTGCGTGATCTCAGAAGTAGGTTTGAAGGATTAGAACCATTGTCACCATGGATGTTGGATTTACTTGCACATAATGCGATAATGAATAATCCAAGTAGACAGGCATTGCCAATAAATCAAGCTTATAAGAGAGTTCTTCAATTATTATCTTCAGGATTATTTCTTCCAGGGTCAGCTGGTGAGTAACATAGTAGTAGTATATTTCTTCAATTAAAAATAGTAATATTTCATTGATATTTTCTCTACATATATTTATTTTATTTCAGGTATTTCAGATCCTTGCGAGGGTGGCAATATTCGTGTCCACACGGCGATGACCTTGGAACAGCAGGATTTAGTATGTTTGACTGCTCAAACCCTATTACGTGTTTTAGCTCATGGTGGTTATAGACCACTTCTGGAGGGCACTAATAAACTAGCCATTGAAATGAGTGTATGGTCAGGTGGTGTTGTTGCTAGTCCTTTAGAGAAAGCTTACGAACCTCCTACGGAACAAGAACAACAAGAAGATATGGAAGAAAGTAACGAAGAGATGATTACAGAAAATGCGTAATTTTTCAATTATTGATTAGAATTTTCTTTCCAAAATTTATTATTATTATATATTCTTCTTGTAAAAAATCACTAATCTTTGTCATCAATCTGTGTTTATTAATATAACGTATTATACATTTATCAAAAGTAATATGATCTTTATTTTTTTTTTTTCGTATCGTTGACGAATATTTCAAAGATTTATTTTATAATGACAATGGCATCATAATTGTGAATACCATTGTTATTAGAATCATACGTTTTATTTGATAATGGTCATATCATTTTTGACCAATAAAATAAAAGTCTTTATGTTTAATCTACAAAATATTTTGTTAACATTAAATATAAATATCAGTTATTTTATGTTATATTTATTATGTTGATATGTAATAACAATGACACGAAAATTTCAAGTCTTTCGTTAGCATTTAGATTAATAATGTGATCTGTTCTTTATATAGATTTATATATATATATATTTTTTTTTTTTTGTATTAATATTATTACGATGATGAATTTACTCATTTGCTAAAAGAAAAGATATGCAATTTTCTAAGATGTAAGATATAGAAGACAATCTTAGAAAAATGATATGACAAATGATTTGTTTTGCTCAAAAAAACACTTGGTGTATGTCGAGCGTTTAGTCGTAGAAATAAGCATCTAAAGAAGATTGAAATAATATTTATATGGAAAAAATGTTTTTACCGCAAACAAGGATCGTTTTCGGGAGTTCGACTGATACGAGCACAATTGACAGATCTTACATTGGCACCAATGCGTACAGGAACCTTGAAAAGTTTACCTTGGGGCATGCAAATACATACTTTAAATTGTTCTTGATCTGTAGGATTTTGTACGAACATTGGTGCAATCGGTATATTATCCATATCAATAATAACACCATTTTTCGTATCAAATATGATATTTCCATTGAGACTTTTAAGAAAGACATCGTTACTAGCATTCCAGACGATCTCTTTGCTTTCCATTTTGATACCTTCAGCACCGTGTAATGAAATTCGATCATTCGAATCGATTGTTAAACTTTCGTTAACTGGAGACGTTATTCTATGTGTCTGTGCTATTTTTACATCGATTTTCTGGATCCCATTTGGTAGACCAAAATTAGGAAAATCTGTTGTAAAATAAATAGCCCCAGTACGAGAATCTTTAACTTCGAACGATTTAACTTGAGATATGCTCGTACCATTTGAAAGTAGTTCTACACGTGAACGTGAACTTTCATGATCCAATTTACCCTTAACATCGATTCTAATACCACCATTGTCCGTTGATATTTCCATAGGTTCATCGCCGTAACTCTGACATACGCCGGATTGTAAACAAAGCTAGAATAAAGTTTTATTAAATTTAATAAAATATAGGATTACACGTATTAAAATCAAAATCATATATTATCAAAAGAACATTCAAAAATACTTTGTCCAAATCTGTACGGCCGTAAAATTTGACGAGATTTTCATCTGGTATCATTTCCATTGCTTCCATACCTTGACTTATTCGTAACACTGCGATAATTGTAATACTTAAAAATAAATTACACAGGCCAATTATTGCTAAGAAAAATGTTAATGTCCAAAGACAGTAACGTTTCCTCGATGATTTTTCACCGATCGGCGTTGATCCACGCGACGTGACGATCGTAGTTCCATTAATATTTTCCGAACTAAGCAAAAAAGAAATTATTATTATTATTATTATTATACAATTATATATATATACACGAATAATAATAATAATTATTATTATTATGAGATACGTATCTTTATAATCACCTTATACGAAGACTACTGGTACTATTTTGATGAACGCTTTTTCTAATCAATGGTCCATCACTGTTCGATAAATTATCTTCCGCTTTGGACATGGAAGGTGATCCAGTGTCATTTCCACAGGCATCGATAATGGCCGACATTGAATTAAACTAAACACACGTATACCTATATATACAATTATTTGTTGCTAATTAAAATAAATACTCATTGTAATTAATTTCAAACAAAATATTATTTGTATATTTTGTAATTTCATTTAATGATCTCAACGATTTGATATTTCTTTTTTTTTTTTTTTTTATTTCGGGTTACAAATATAAAATTATTATTGAAAATTGATTATACATTAATAAAGAGTTTCGACGTACTATTTTTTTAAAAATATGTTTTTGGTTTTTTTCTTCTTTTACAGTCTCTTGGTCAATGTTTGATATAAGGGAATCAAATAAAAGATTGAATCTCAGTATATCGATTGCTTTGCACACGTTGCACACAATATTTGATTTAAAGATCAAGAGGAGCTTTTCAACGATAATATGTAGTAATCTCTTTCGAAGAAAAACGCAAATAAACGGATACAGTTGTTAGACTCTTGAAACGTGTGAAAGAACGAAACCAATTCGACCGAGATAGACACTGAACTAGCTAAAATCTGGCGGCGCTTGCGCGTCTAAAGATCAATGTCGAATATATTCTGGAATGTGTGTCGTCTACCTTCTTTTTCACTTATACAGACATATATATATATTAGATCGAGTCATAAATAATTTCCGTTTTTTATGAGACAAACAATGGTGTTCGACCACGCGTTACTGTGACTCACAATCAGTCCGATACACACGTCTTTAAGTCAATTTATAATCATTGCGATTATAAATTGAGATATAAACTATCCTATCTTTCAAGTTGAATGAAATGGCATACATTGTGCAAAATTTGATTAAAATCTGTTCATTAATTTAGGAGTTCATTGCGGACAAACAACGTGACACATAATTTATACACACATTAAGAAGATTTTATACGAGTTTCTTATTTTTACGTTTTAAAATAAAAATACAAAGATTATTTATCTGATATATAAATTATTCGTACGACCACAATCTTAAATAAATGTATTCAATAAATAATGTCAATCAATTATGTTATATTTAAATTTAGAAATTGAATGTTATAACACTTGGTTCTTTTTTCCTTGTCTGTTTGTCTTTTGATCAGAATTTATGCAAATTAAATTACCTGGAATAATAAATACTTTTTGTTTGTTTGTTACATTCGAAATAAACGTTAAGAGTGGATTTTAATTCATATATTTGTTCTCAGAATGAAAATGAAAATAAATTGCGAGAACAGATCGATTAAAATGTCGACGATTAAATTAATCTACGAGTATTATTATTAATGAAGTACTAAATGATATGTTTATTCGATGTAAAATAAAATATTATTAATCGTGTTCTGCCCAAATTACACTTTCCAGCCAAGGAATATAATTATATACTCTAGTGTAGATTCCTGGAGTATATAAACCACATAATTGGCCTGCACTGGTAACACCGATGATGTTGTACATACAATAATGATCATCATTGAAAATTAACAATGGACCACCACTGTCACCCTAAAATATAATATATAAACATGAATATATGAATTAATAAATAATTTTATATTTATTATACAGAGATGGTGTACAAGTGAAAATAAAAAATAGAAAAAAACAATATACCCCACAAGTGTCTTTGCCATATTCACCGGCGCATATTTGCGAATCGTTGACGATACCTCGATTGAATCGAATATTTGAATAGGTAAATGTGTTGCAAGCAGTATGATTAACAATATTTATAGTGACTTTTAACAAATCGTCCGATCTAGTTTCGTTTTCTAAAATATTTGAAAAAAAAAAAAATAAACAAATCACAAATTCATATTTATACGAATGTATATTTTATTACAACATGTTGTAATATTCGATGTTATTACACTTACCCCAATCAACGTAGCCCCATCCTGTTGCGGTAGCTTTGTTCTCAGGTGAATCAGGTAAAGTTGTTTGCAAACAAGCAGGTCTAACATATTCATTAAATTCTACATTGGTTTCTAATTTAAGTAATGCAATGTCGTGATACAACGATGGAGGTTTGTATTGTGGATTTGGAATTTTGTCAATAATTTTGTAATCTTTCGGTTTAGCTGCATCATCCTTTGATACCAGATTTAAATCACCAACTCGTGCTACAGTTGGAGCAACACTGACAAAACGATTAACTTTTGAATATATTTATGGATATAATAAGCTGTTGTAATCTTTGAAAAATTGTTAAAAATAAACAAGAAAACTTATAAATAAATAATTGGACTAACTTATCAACTGAACGTAAACAATGGGCAGCCGTTAAAACAAATCTCCTTGAGACCAAACTTCCTCCACAACTCCATTCAATACCTTTGCCAGATTCATAACCAAGTGCCACCATGTGAGGAAATTCTTTTCCAAGTGCTTTCTCACCACCGATGATCAATGTTTTACCCTTAATACCACATGTAGAGGTGTTAAATGGTTTTGAACCGATAAGAAAAATTGGTGGATTTACAAGTTGATAAACGTATTGAGAATATTCTCTACATTCTAAGAAAAAACAAAAACAAAAAAACAAGAAACAATATTCAATGAATTGTTATTATATAAATAAACACGAGATCACGTTTATATGAAATATGAACATTAATTAATTCAATGATAAACTCACTTTCTCGAGAAAGAACACCACGTTCATCATTCGAAGGATTTGGTTGTTCTACATTCATTTTAGTATCAGTAGAAGTTGGTACATCGTTAGGACAACAAACAATAGGTATACGATTTGCATATCCACAATTTTTTTCTGGCGGATTTCCGGCCAGTAACGATTTATATACAGAAATACAATCTGTTAATAATTTACAAATTCCACTTTTTCCGTTCATAGAACATGCGCTTCCTGAAAAACAACGACAAGTTGTTTATTTAATTTCAACGAATGAAATATGAAAATGAAAAAACATGTCTGCAGATCATACAAGTTAAATGTGAAAATTATAATATGATTTTTTACGTTTTTTTTTTATAATTATTTATTTAATAATTATAAAAATTCGCGCCTGTAAGTAGGCAACCCTCTAGACACAGTTTAAAAATGTTGCTTGCGAGCGCCACCTGTTGAGACGAGAATTTTTTTCAGCTCAAACTGTTTATACACCCATGTATTACGGGTTGCCTATCTTTCGGGAAGAACAAACATTTCCATTCTGACAGATGACGCTCGCAAGCATCATTTTCAAAGTGTGTCTGGATGGTTGCATTCTTACAGGCGCAATGTTTTTACAAACATTTAAAATTAATGATAAAAATTTAACTTTAATAATAAAACAATACTTTTCTTTTTATTTTATCACTTCAATTTTAAAAAAGTTTTCACTTTAAAGAAAGAATATATTAATTAAATGTATTGTAATTGATTAAATCAATTTTACAATTGATTTATTACTCGACTCGTAAGTTAAGAACATCGAATAAAACGAACAAAAACAATTTTAAAATTTGATTAATCGAAAATTAACGAATGAATGTCATTTGTGACGTGTCACGTTCCAAAAATTAAATTCAATCCTTTGAGATAAAATTCATTTTTGTTCAATCGAAAAAAGATAGATAGATCTTACCTTCGTCCAGTTGACCATGAATTGGAAGTAAAATGACGATGACGATAAAACACAGAATGTAAATGATTTTTGATATTAATCTCAACGAAAACATCTTTTATCGTAAAAAATCAAAAAAAAAAATAAAAAAAAAGAAAAAAACAACTATTCTTTGTTGGTTGGTTTCTGATAGATAGTTCCGAACAGATTTGATAATCAATCGCAACTACTGGTGCTTCTTTCTTGGCCTCGCTTTTTGTTATTCAAGTTCGTAACATTCGCATTAATCCCCACCACAAAATCCTTTCACTGTGAATGATGATAGACAGTGGTGGTGGTGGTGGTGGTGGTGGTGGTGGTGGTGGTGGTGGTGGTAAAAATATCTAACTCGTTTAACAAGAATCAGTAGTATTCTTACTGAACCCTATGACAGCAGTGTATCTTTCGTAGCATTAATTATTAAATATTATTTTCCTCCTTATTTTTTTTTCTTTTTTTTTTTTTTTCTAATTCTCCTTCATTATAAGAATTATCCAACGTCATCAAAATACAATGCAAATGTATCTATCATGAGTATCATTTGTTTTTCCTCTTTCTTTTTCACGAATATATTCAAGTTAATTTCTTACAAATTCATCATCGATTTTCCACTAATTCGATTATATTAAATATCATTTAGAATGAAAGATGATTTGTTTGTTTTCTTTTTTTTTTTTTTTTTAGAAGTAAGTAAAATGATCTAGTCGTAGGAAATGTATTTTTTATTTTTTATTTTTTTTTATTTATATAATATAATTTTCTGAAATTATGACACTTCGTTTTATCTGTGCGTTTATCACGTGAACGAATTTGTTTTATTCTTCGTGTTAACGTTTTAATAAAAAAATATTTCTTTGGGTACGTGACGATTTCATTTTCAACAACTTTTCTTATCTTTTCTACTAAACAATTTTTATTTATTTTTTTTTTTTTATATATTTGTTACGTTAAAAAATCAATTCTTTGAAATAAAATGACATAAGTGAAATAAGTTTATTCGGAGCATAGCTTTGAATTCTGGGTTATCTAATTAATGACTTTAATCATTTCTTAATAAAGACATTAATTATCTCGAAATATTATCATATTTCGAGATAATATTGAAGATATATTTCAAACTGTGATGTATTTGTGAAGAAAACGTTGCTACTTAAAATTATAGAATATAAATCATGTTGTTTCAGATCTTTTCCTTGTTTCATTTTAATTCATTACTTTCTTATCAAATTTATCCTCTATATATTATTCTATTTTTTTATTTTGATCATTTATCAATTCATTCGAAAACACTACACGAGAATTCAATGCTTCGATTAAATTTTAAATTAATATTTTATTTAAAAAATAAATAACAATGTATCTTTTTTTTACCAAGGGTAGTTTGCTAGCCTCATCCTCGAACCCTTCTCCTTTATCTGAGCTTGGAACCAGTTAGATATTATCTAGATATTAATCTAGATATCAATTAAGCGGAGTTAATTAATCAATTTTGTTCAAATATTTATTTAATAATTTATCAATAACCTTAAAAAATTGTTTAATATTTTTTAGATAATTTACGCGTGTGTGTTTAGTTGTACGATTTATTCATGCCAAATTGAGATAACCAATTATTGTTTATTTGTATATGCATTGTATATACATTCATTGATTGTTAACGTCAATGTTTTATGATTTTTCATCTCGTTAACAATTCATGATTAACGATCGAGATTAAAATAATCGATAGAACGAAAATAAATGACTTATCAGCATTATTTTTCTTTATTTCAAGTTTAGATCTTTGAGTATCAAGTTTGTTAAAGTGTTTCTTGTTCAATTAAACGTTATGAATTTGAGTCAAAAATGTTTATCAAATTTTGTTATCGTGTGTTTTTTTTTATTACAATTTATGATATTATTTACAGTTACATTATCCAGAAAAAGTGAAGAAAGTTTGTGTATTTTTTTTCTTTTTTTTTCAATTGTTTCTTGCTCAACGTGTAATACATACAACGTTGAACTGTCTGTCTGTTCTTTTTTTTTTTATTTTATATGGTGTTTTGTGTATAATATACTTTCACCAATTTTCAGACACTCTTCTTAAATATATACAGAAATAGTAGTAGTAGTAGTAGTAGTAATAGTATTACACACGAATAAACTTTCAATATGTTATGTGTTGGTGAGATCAGAGGAAGTTTTCAATGGCGGGAATTTCAAATCGTATTGAACACACAAAGAAGTTAACTTCGCGATCACAATCCATTCATTAACCAGTTAAACGTGTTTGACGACTATATTCATCATGGAGATGTGACCAAATGTTCTGTTATGACGACTATATACGTCATGCGTAAAAGTTCGTTACAGTTTGATGTTTAAATTGTCATTTTGTCGAATTTTGTTCGTTTATTATGTATAAATTAATAAATTATTAAACAAAATTGTTCATTTTCTAAAAATAAAATCGATCTTTTTGACTATCCAATATTTGAACAGTGCTTGACGATTATATACGTCATCGCTTGATTATCGCGACACACACACACACACACACACCAGAGCGCATTCTGAGCAACAGATCGCCACACACTTTTAACTGGTTAATATTATTTTATTAATTATCGTAAAATGGATGAATGAGGAGTTTAAATATCCACTGACCTTGGGAAATCTAATCTTTGTATCGATAAGTTTAAACGTAAAACGATTATCTCGTGCGTAAAGATTGATGCACGTAGTCGCCTTTCCTTCATTTTCGTTTATTTTATTTTATTTTTTTTTTTTTATTTATTCGTTACTTTTTTTTCTTTTTTTTTTTATCTCTAGAGCTTCTTTCATTTCAGTTATTTTGTTGTAGAATGTGAAGAATACAGTAAACTGGTTTATGAATTTGAGGCATCGCCTGTCCTTCGAATCGGAGCCGGTTTTATTAATGTTTCACGTTGTGCTATAGTTGAGACACCATTGATCGTTGGTGGTGTCAAAGCTAAAACTGCTGAATTTCCACACATGGTAAGTCAAAATGATAAAAATGATAAAATAATTATTGAAGATTTTTTTTATCCCAATGACAACAAATCATGGATTATTTAAAAAATTAATTACCTTTTTTTGTAAAATTTTTCAAACTCGTCATTGGATGGGTAAGTATTTGATAAAATTTAAAAAAAAGATAGAAAGGCTAATTAAATTGTTGTCACATTCATCTTGTGTGTAGTACTTATTGATTATTAATTATTATTAATTATTGAATTGTTCGAAAAGTAATTTCGTTTGATTTTTTGTTGTAAAAATGAAAACAATTTTTGTTTCAAAGTTCAAACTTAGGATTTATGAGTAGGTTTAAATAGTTTCATTTTAATAAATTTAAACTCTCAACAATTTCACGTATTGTTATTTTGCCAATTTGCATTAATTAATTCGAAAATTGTGTCAATAAACAACGAAATTACTTTTCGAACAACCTAATATGTGATTAATTAAGTATTCGCTTTTTTTTTTGTTTTTTTTTTTTGTATCTGCAGGCTGCAATTGGATTTGGTAAAAATTTATCAGACATCTCATGGGAATGTGGTGGAAGTATTATTTCGGAGAAATATATTTTAAGTGCAGCACACTGTTTGGAATCACGCAATAAGTATATTATTATTATTATTATTATTATTATTATTATCTTTATGAAATAATGTATTTTTAATTGATTAGAGTATACACACTTTCACACGCGAATTTGATAAAATATTGTAGTAAGAGAGAGAGAGAGAGAGATGATAAGACTTTGACCCTTTAACCTAAGATTTACGTTCGAGAATTTTAAGCCGGAAATGTAAAAAAGTTCGCGTAATCTTCGAGCCATTTGCACAAATTGTGTAATACGCTGATCGAACCAATCGTAAATACGTGGAACTTAAATAGTGGCAACTATTTATTCACAACCGATACAAAAGAGTGACTACTTTGAAGGACAGTAACAGGTGCAAACATGTAACTCTTGTATCGGTTGTGAATAAATAGTTGTCATTATTTAAGTTCCAATCTACGTATTACAGGCATCGCTCGTGATAGGACGGTCGCGGTTTGTATAAATAAACTTTTTGTGGTACTTGTGGTATCTAACACAATTATTACATCAGGCTGTAATTACATATCAAATATTTTATAAATGTTTATAATTTAACAAAATTTAGCGCCGCCGGTAATATTCACTTTTGGTCCGATCATCATCGTACACGGGCTATACTCGTAGTTGTAGGTTAAGGGGTTAATTAAATCTCGTTATTGTTGTTGTCATGTTTAGAGATCCTGCTACAATGGTTAGAGTAGGTATGAACAATTTAGAAGAAAATGAAGATGGTTTACAAGAAAGAACAATAATACGTAGAATAAAACATCCAGATTATCGATTACCTTCCAAGTACCATGACTTGGGTTTGATTGAATTAGATCGTCCTTTGGAATTAAATTCACGAGTTAGACCAGCATGTCTTGAAGTTCATTTTCAACCACCTGGAAAGAAAGCTATTGCAACTGGATTTGGTAAAACAGCGTTCGGTTTGTATAAATATTCAATAAATTATGTTATTAATTTTATTTCGTAGAATTAAAGAAATGAAATGAACAATTTTCTAACAAATTATTAAATAGGTCAATTATATTTTAGATGCAACGTTTGGTAGCAAGGATTTAATGAAAGTGCAATTGGATTATATATCAAAGAAGGATTGTAAAAAACGATATCAATTTGATTTAGGTAGTCGTTATTTACCTGAGGGATTCATACCAAATTTGTTTTGCGCTGGAGTGATGGAGGGTGGCAAAGACACGTGTCAAGTAATTGTTAATGAAAAACAAAATGATATGTTATAAAAAATAATTTAGAAGTGAAACCTGAGTATGAAGTATGAGTGCATATTTTTAACAGTAGTATAATTTTTTATATAATATTATTGTAATTATTTATTTAATATTTATAAAAACATTGCGCCTGTAGATATGCAACCCTCCAGACACACTTTGCAAATGCTGCTTGCGAGCGTCATCTGTTGGGACGGAAATTTATGTTCTACCCGAAAGATAGGCAACCCGTAATACACACGTGTATGAACAGTTTGGACTGAATAAAATGTCCGTCCCAACAGGTGGCGCTCGCAAGCAACAATTTCAAACTGTGTCTAGAGGGTTGCATATCTACAGGCGCAATGTTTTCATAAATAATTATAATAATTTAACTAAGAAGTTTTCACTTTAAAAACTATAATTAGTCTTGAATTTTTTAAATTTATAAACAAATGTTGTTTGAATTTAAAAATTATAGAATTTGTTATCACATTAATAATAAATTTGTTTGTTTTTTTTTTTTAATTTTTAGGGTGACAGTGGTGGGCCATTGCAACGAGTACTCGTTCATCCTTATTGCACTTACAGCATAGTTGGTATAACAAGTTTTGGAAAATTTTGTGCATACAAAAATTCGCCAGCTGTTTACACTCGTGTCAGTTCATATTTGGATTGGATTGAATCAATAGTTTGGCCACAAACAAAATGAACATGAAATGAATTATTCTTTCATTCTTCTTTTATTGCAAGAACATCCTTGTAGCCTTGTGTTTAGCGTATTTACAACAACATTTGATTCCCATAATATAATATAATATAATTATAATATATAATATAATATAATATAATATATAAGCATGCATACAAATAACGTTCGATAAAAATATATACCATGTGTGTGTATGACTATGTGTGTATAATATATACAACAAAGGGGAAGATAAAACCATAAAATTATTCATTCATAAAAATAATAATAATAATAATAATAATAATAATAATAATAATAATAATAATAATAATAATAATAATAATAATAATAATAAAATGTAATT